GACTCATAGCAACCCTATGCAGGGTTTCTGAGGAGTAGCTGGTGAGCTTGAACAGCCAATTTTGCAGTTCAAACTGACCTTACAGTCCAGATCATTAACCCACAGTTCCAACCCAGGACTCCATTTTTAACCATAGAATCCTCAATATTGCAGTAAGTCAAGGCTTGAATTTTTTTTCAGTTCTCTTACCTTGAGAAATGCTGAACATGTTCTTCATGTTTCCTAACTCCATTTCATTATAATACTAAACTTTGTCCTCTTGAGCTGCCCTTGAAATTTTTAGTTCAGCTCTTTTATTTCCTCATTTCTTTCAGCTGCTTTAGCTTCTCGACACTCAAGAGCATGTTTCAGAGTCTCCCTGACATACAGTTTGGTCTTTTAATCTTTCCTGTGTTTTTAATGACCTACTTTCTTCATATATGATGTTTTTCATGTCATCCCACAACTCTTCAGATCTTCAGTCATTAGTCTAATGCTTCCTATCTATTCTTGAGATGTTCTCTAATTTCAGGTGGGACATATTCAAGATCATATTTTGGCTCTCATGGACTTGTTTTAATTTTCTTCAGCTTCAATCTGAACTTGCATATGAACAATTGATTGTTCTAGTGTTTGCCCATGACCTTGTTTTCACTGATGATAGTTAGCTTCTCCATCATTTTCCCCACAGATGTAGTCAGTTTGATTCCTGTGTAGTCCATATGGTGAGGTCCATGTGTTATCTTTTATGTTGTTTAAAAAACAGGTATTTGCAATGAATAAGTCAATAACCCAATGCTTAACTTAATACACAATGCCATCAGAGCTCCTTTGGAATATATATATATATATGAAAAATATAGCCTTGGTGATAGAAAAGATGCTAGAGATCATATAATAGAATTTTGTTATGTTCCACAACATTTAGTTTCATAACGTAACTCTTGATCCTCTCTCTTTGTTTCCAACTTTCACATTTCAATCACCCGTAATTATCTTGATTGCAAGTCTAATCAATTTTAGAGTGAAGAAGTTGGTAGAATTCTTCAATTTATCATCACTGACATTAGTGATTGATGTGTAAATTTGAATAGTGGTATTAACTGGTCTTCCCTGTAAATATATGGTTATCATCACATCATAGAAAGCATTGTACTTCAAGATAGATCTTGAAGTGTTGTTTTTGATGATGGATGTGATTCCATTCTTCTTCAATTTGTAGTTCCCAACATAGTAAACCTAAAGGTAGTCCCATTATTCAAAATGTCCCATACCAGTCCATTTCAGCTCACTGATATCTAGGATATTGATTTTTATGTTTTCCATTCATTTTTTTACAACTTTCAATTTTCCTAAATTCATACTGCATACATTTCACAATCTGATTAATAATGGCTATTTACAGTTGTTTCTTTTCATTTTGTGTTGGGCCTGATCAATATATGAAGGTCCCGAAAGATCTGTTTCGTTTACATCAGTGTGGCCAATGGTACTTTGAGGAGACGGCTCTTCCCAAGTTATCTTTTGAGTGCCTTCTAACCTGAGGAGCTCACCTTCTGATACTGTATCTGAAAATGTTCCACAGCTAATCAAAATTTTCTCAGTGGCTAACTCTTCAGAAGTAGCCTGTCTTAGTCTAGAAGCTCTACTGAAACCTGTCTACCATGGGTGACCCTATGGATATTCAAAATACCAGTGACATAGCTTCCAAGCTCCCAAAGTAGGACAAACTGACAAATGAGTGGTGGCAAATAAACCTATAGGACAGAGTAAAATTGCTTTTTTTAGTTTCTTAACCTGTAAATCTTCACAGAAATATCAATCTCCTTCAGAGTGGCTGGTGGGTTTGATCTACTGACCTTGTGGTTAGCAACCCAAATGCTTACTTTAATCCACAATGCCATCAGAGTGCCTTTGGATTCCTTTCTATATACAAATGATCCAAATTGAACCTAGTGGCTGAACAATATCATCAAAACTTCTCAAAAAAGGGACAGTTAATGTCTACACATTTTCTCACTACAGCCTCCTTCCTACAAGTTCTCAAGAATATACTGTATGGCACAATATATTGCCCCTTTACCTTTTCATATTAATCCTTTATTGAATCCAATTCTCTAAAACTCCCTCTTAATATTTCTTGTGTTTTCAGAGCGTCCTGCAATCTCATTTAGGAAATATAAGGGATTGTCTACAAAATCCACTCAAAAATTATATAAAAACTCAAAAAAAAAGTCAAATTACAAATGCCAAAGAAAATTTTGACAGCACACCCCAACACTTCGCTTATACTATAGTGATCAATCTCAAACAGTTATTATTTCTATTTTGGCCCTTCAATTTTAAGAGGGACCTATACTAGATGGAAGGTCTAATCTGTGCTGTTCACACAGTGAGGATCCCAAATATACCCATTCTCTGTTTCATGAAATGAATAATTATCTCATGCACATGTTTGAGCATTATTATCAATACCAATTCATATAGGTTTAAAATGACTTGCTATATTATATCTTGCCTGTTAATGATAATAAATAATCACTGTCAAGAGCTTGGGGCCTATAGTAAAAGTTGCCGCAAAGTCAGAACCACACTAGTCAGATGAGAATCACAGAGTATAAAGAGTCTGAGCTGCTGTTGGATTCATCTAGACAGCACAGCTCTGCTCTCATATAAAAGGTTTATGCTGCTTTACAGGAAAGATATTGTGATATTGTGCCTATATTTTTAAAGGCAAATTCGATCTGACTTTTTCATGATTGGACTGTTACTGATTGTAGTCTTTAGTTGAATTAAGATTGGCTTTTCCAATTAACAGCATTACATTTTCCATTGTAAGGCCTGTGGCTTTTCTTGAGGTCATGGAGAATACTAATCCTCATGAGAATTTGTAATGTGACTTCTCTTTCACAAGAGTCTTTCTTCTAGTAAGTATACTTATAGTATGGTGGTGGTGATGGTGCTTGTATACTGTGGGATTGGTTCTGGCTCATAGCGACCCTGAATACAGTTTCTGAGGCTATAAATCTTTAAAGGAAAAGAAAGCCTCATCTTTCTCCTGCAGAACAGTTTGGTAGATTCAAACTGCTGCCCTTGAGGTTAGCAGCCCAACTCATACCCAATATGTTACCAGAGTTCCTTATACTTATAGTATACTATCATTTAAAATGATAAAAATGCAGAATCATACAAAGCAAAATAAAAATAAGTTAAGAAAAATCCTGGCAAAGCAGTGAGTAGATAAGCTAAAAGGACATGTAAGATAAAGTCTCGAATACAGCCCTCTGATAGAAACTAGATTTGAAGATGTTGCTGTGGCTCCCTTCAGCTCTCATGAAAACAGCTCATCTAAAACTTGTGCCATTACACTCTCATTTCCCACCTTAGTTATAAAATTTACCAACTTGCTAAACAGTTTTTCATTCACTAAAGGCTTGGCTAAAGAGCTTTCTTTGCTTAATATTTAACTTGTCATTCTCTATTGACTCCTTCACATTGTTACTTACAAAATCACAAGTCCCTCCCATTCTAGATAACAATATATACCCTGTGGCACTACAGGATGAACACTGGACTGTTAACCATAAGGCTGGTGGTTCAAACCTACTAACAGCTCCTAGAAAACCTTATACTGGGTCATTGTGAGTCAAAACCAACCAACACAACAGCAAGATATTTAACAAGATATTTGACAAGTACAATCATTAAAAAAAAACGCAAATCCTATCATGATTTGCTAGTTAAACATTATCAAATTCTTCCCATTGCATTTATGATAAAAATCTCATTTCTAGTCCTTATCATGCTAGTATTTGTCATCCTAGTCCTTGTATGGAGTCCTGGTGTGCCACTACGGGTTAATGCGCTGGACTACAAGGTCAGTTTGAACCTCAAGATTGGTAATTCAAGCTCACCATCTACTTCTTGGAAATCCTATACAGGGCCACTGTGTTAGAACCAACTCAAACGGCACTTAACAAGAACAAGTCCTTGTCTATCTCCACAGACTATACCTTTGCATTCTAGTCTCTAGAGAAAATTGACCTATTATACTGCCTTTCAAGCATTCTGCTTTTCTTTTGCTTTTGAACATGTCACTTTCACTGTTTGGGACTTTACCCTATTCTCATAACAAGAAATTCTTTCTGCAGAAACCAGCTTCAATGTAACTTCAGCAGATAAGTCTGATTTATTTCCCAGGCAGATAAATTGTAATCTCTGCTCTTTCTCCAAAACCTTTTCTTAGGGTTAAAATTCCCCTTGCACATTTTGGTAATCACAGAAAACTACAATATTTATTACACTTATAAGTTTTTCTTTGTACTCCCACCTCCATGACCACAAGGTATTTTGAGTAGCATGTAGAAAATTTGCTTTTAGACGCCATTGAGTTAGTTCAATGTTATCCTCCAGCTGTGGTTCACATTATTTCAGGTTGGGTTATTCCAGTTTCTATAGATATTCCACACACAATAAATATGTTCAAAAGCACAAGAATCAGAGAAAATGTTTTTGTTTTGTTTTTATCTGACAGGTACAATATCTCCAAGAAGCAACTTCTTTGAAATCTTGACTTCAACACTCCTTTCTTTGAATTCTACTGCTCTGCTTATCACAAGACAGTAATTTTGACTGACTTTGTGTGCTCTGGTAGCATAGTAGTTAAAAGTCGGGCTGCTAACTTCAAGGTCAGCAGTTCGAAACTACCAGCAGTTCTGCACAAGAAAAATGAAACTTTCTGCTCTGGTAAAGATTTACAGCCTGGGAAACCCTATGCAGGGTCTTTATAAGTCGGAGTCAACTCCATGGCACATAACCAGCCAACCATATGTGCTCTCAGATAATGTTAAACAAAGGTAAAAAGCTATTCTGATAGCAAAGAATGTTCAGAATGTTCCCACTCAAAGATCTACACAGAGATAATCACATTTGAGCCTCTGGCTTGTCAAGGAAATGAAGCAGCAGAAGAGTGAACCATAGCCATGCACTTTCAATAGCAAAGCAATTAAAAGGGAACTTACGCATGTCACCGAAGGCGCCTTTTGTCACTTTAGTGGCATGTAACACCACTACTGTGAACTTGTGGGAATACTGGTGCTCCACCTGGAAATAAAATGACAATAAATTAGGAATAACTTTCCAATATAAAATCCAAATTAATTTTTCTCATTGTTTCCTTGAGGCTAATTAAAACTCTAGCCACTCCTTGGAAACCCTATGTAGGGTCACTATGAGTCAGAACCAACTGAAAGGCACTTAACAACAAAAGGTGAAAGTAAGCTAACATGCATACCAGAAACATAATTTGATCCTAAGGCTAGGACTTCTTTTGAATCTTTCTTCTCTCCCATCAGAGAGTCATTGAGAAATTTAGATCATGCTTTAAAATGTCACTACCAATGAGTTTATCCGCCCTCCTTTACTGTCAGACTTACCAAGCCTTTAGAAAAGAATAAATCAAGACTAAGGTTATCAACAGTGCAATCAGGCTTTGTACTGGTTAACTAGGAAGCACTGTCTTAAAAATGTAATGTCAGAGCAACGTGCTCACATTATTTGTGTGTGTAGTTTACTGCTGTTGCTCAATTGTTGAAAGGGTTTTTGCTTTTTTTTTTTTTTTCTGAAAGACATCTCCAGAATAGTTGTCAAAATCCATTGGATAATAAACAACAAAATTGCAAGCAAATTTAAAAAAATATTTCCTTTTAATGCATTTGTTATAAACCAGATACAACAATGTTAAAGGTTTCTATTAGCCTAATACTGACCATGCACATAATGAGTATGGAGTCTTGGTGTGGCACTGTAGGATAAGCACTTGACCACAAAGTCAGTTTGAACCACAAGGTCAGTGGTTCAAAATTCATCAGCCACTCCTCGTAAACCATGACTCAGCTCGCTATGAGTTGAAACCAACTTGAAGGCACTTAACAACAACAACATCATGAATATTTACTTAACAGAAGAGCTTGTTTAACACCTCACCAAACTGGATATTCCTAATTTCTGACTACTAAAGCAGAATGGAGTAGCATAAACTAACGTCTCTCTCCAAAATATGTAATCTCTCATTAAAGTTTGAGCGTTCTTTTCCAATCTTAGGGGAGACCCACATTCAGAAGCTGCTTGTATCTCATTGACTACTTTAACAAGCTTGCCTCTGAGTCAAAAATTTACCATTGACTAAAAGGAGGCTTAGCTATAGACAACACTGAGAGGTGAGTAATGACAGTTAGAAGCAAGAAAACAAAATTGTAAATAACTCCTAGTCAAATTTATTGTCTAAGAATTATTGTCAACATCTGGAATAGTTATGAGTAGACAAATATTTATTCTACATAATTGAAATGATCAATCATAAAAAAAAAGATAAAAACTAAAAAAGCCATTATTATCTAGTTGATTCCAACTCATGGTGATCTTATGTTTTACAGAGGAGCAGTGCCCAGTAGGTATTTAAAGGCTGCAATCCCTAGGGGAGCAGATTACAGGACTTTCTTCCACAGAATGGCTGGGTGAGTTTGAACTACCAATCGTTCTGTTAGCAGCTGAGCCCAAGCCACGTGTGACACCCAGGGATATACTATAAACAAACATAAATGCTTTAAAATACATATTTTATTGCAATGACAGAAAATCACTCATACATTCATCTCTCTCAAAAAAGACTTGTATATATGTGATGATAATGATGGTGGTGATAGTGAATTTGAGTCATACTCAAATTCACATTTTATTCATTGAGATATATATTTGTTATGTAAACTCCATAAATGCTTTGTGTTAACTATTCCAGGTGACAAATATGTCAGTTATAAATAATGACTCTGTTTGTAAGTGCTGCAAAATTACTTTATTTAGGTTAACCTCCAACTTTGTTCAGTCATTGAGGTAATGTATAGTATACCTAGGTGTCAAATGATACATGGCTTGAAAATAGTAAATAAATATCCTAGAAAACCCATCCTTGGGATTACCTTTCTACATTAAAGAGATTTTTCTCATTAATAATAATTATATAAAATGCAGCATCTCTCTCCAAATTCATCCTTTTTTTTTTTTTTTAAATACATTCTAGAACTTCTCATACCAAATAGATTTTCAAATGTCTGGAAGTTTTCTTGGAGAATACAATTTATCACTTGATTTTGAAATTGCTGAAAATGCATTTCCATATCAAATGATGATAATTACTAATAACATGTAGAAATAATGTATGTTGTTGCTATCACTATAAGGAATTACTGTATATAGATCATATGTTAGACATTCTACCAGATGTTAATTCTAATTTAATATTCTCAACAACTCTATAAGGTTGTTAGTATTTATGTTTATAGGGTAGTAAATTGAGATTCTCTAAGTAAGCTCCCAGAAACACGCAGATGGTAAACGGAAAGCTCTGATTACAATGCAGTCTCGGTGTTGTGTTTTATATATATTTTTTTACAATAAGAGGGGAAGGAGGACAAAAAGAAAAAGTAATACAGTTGCACTGCCCTCAGTGTCTTTATTTTTTCTACATTTCTTTGTTGTTGTTGCTGTTAAGTGCTATTGAATCAGTTTAGACTCATAGCGACCTTATATAGGATTTTCGAAGAGCAGCTGGCGTGTGAATCACTGACTTTACTTTTAGCAGTCCAGTGTTTATCCTAAAGTGCCACACAAAGACTACAGAATCTCAGAATCTTACTAATATAGAAATTAAGAAATTCTGTATCTCAATGTCTTTAATAATAATAAGGTCTATTTCCATTTACTAATTTACAAGGTATAGTTACAAATTCATCTATCATATCTGTAGTTGACATAAAGTCCTTCTAACCACTGTATTATTTCCTCTATTCCATTCAGGTGTCTTTTTCATCTGCATTTATTTCCATCAACCTCAATTTTGTCTTCATGGAGCTCTGGTAGCGTAGTGGTTACGAATCGGGCTGCAAACCTTCAGGTCAGCGGTTCGAAACTACCAGCCGCTCCGCGGGAGAAAGATGAGGCTTTCTACTCCCGTAAAGATTTACACCCTCGGAAACCCTGTACAGGGTCGCTATGGGTCGGAACCGACTCGACGGCATTTAACAACAACAACAACAACTATAATGAATGAAGTAGTTACATATTGTTTACAGGGAGCAGGAAAAAGATATGGCAGTCTGCTTCTGTAAATACTTATATTGTTAGCCTTGGGAACCCTATGGGGCAGTTTTGTCCTTTAGGAGTTGCTCTGAGTCTGAATTGAGCCAAAGACAGTAAGGTTTTGGCGGGTTGGCATGAAATAAAGAGAAAAGTACCATTTTTGTGTTTTTATAAGATAATTTTGGAACCATCATGTAATCTATATATTATTTTCAAAGTAAAGCCAAACCAGATAACACTGAGTTGATTACAACTCAGGGCAACACCTGTGCATAGTGTAGACCTGTGCTCCAAAGGATTTTTAAGGCTGTTACCTTTTGGAAACAGGTGACCAGGTCTTTCTTTTGAGGTGCCTCTGATTAGGTTCAAACAGTCAACCTTTCGATTAATAATCCAGTGCTTAATCATGTGTGATTTTCAAAATATAAGGGTTAAAATTGATGTGCCCATCTCTCTCTAATAGCTGTAAGGATTAATTTTTTAAGCACCATCCAGTTAGTTCTGATCATAGCAATCCTGTACAGGGTTTCCAAGAAGTGGCTGGTGGGTTCGAACAACTGACCTTGTGGTTAGCAGTGCAGTGCTTTATCCTACAGTGCCACACCAGAGTAACAGGAGAATACAAGTAAAGGAGTCTTTATGGTGCAATAGTTTAGTGCTTGGCTGCTAACAAAAATAAATTGGTGAGTCAAATCACCCCAGTCACTCTCTGGGAAAAAGACCTACAGATCTGCTCTTGTAAAGATTACAGTCTAGAAAACCCTGCAGAGGGTGTTATACTTTGTCACATGGATTGCTATGAGTCAAAATCGTTGGGATGTCACCTAACAACAGCATCTATAAACAGCAAGGACAAATTATTGGAGAAAAGTATTCATATTCAATCAGTAATTATCCAAATAGTCTTTGGAGAATGCCTTGACATGTTTCCTGGTGCCAATATCACGCATGTCTTAGGGATGGTGCCAAAGGAAATGCCATTATTGAATCCACAATTAGTGTTCCCCCGAGGAAACTAATGATTCAGCACATTGCTAGTTGGTAATAGGCAGGTAAAGATGCCATATTTCAATTGAGATGTCAAATCTAAACTCAATTCACTGACTTAGTCACCAAGATTTTCTTAAAAGAACTAAGCCTTGCCTTCAGGTCTTGGCTTACCTTATTTTGAGTGTTCCTTCATCCATAATATTTTCCATAGTGAAAACCAAGATCACATTTCTTTTCACTATCACAATTTCCAAATCATTAGGAAAAGAGCTATTATATTTTATTAATTCTATAGAATTATACTCAGATTTACAATTAAGAGGATTGAGCATGGGCGCTTTGTTGTTGTTAAGTGCAGCCAAGTCAATTCTGACTCAGCAATGCTATATAGAGTTTTCAAGCAAGGACTGGTGAATTTGAACTGTTGACTTTGCAATTAAGTAGTCCAGTGCTTATCCTACAGTGCTATACTAGAGAGGGTAGGGGTGCGAACAGTCAGTTTGTCCAAAAGCAATTTGATGGCTTTCCTAATCTGTTTAAGTTCTTTGGTTATAAAACAAGAATACACAATCATAACTTCTGATGGAAGAGAAGTTCCATTCTGGGTACATAGTTCTTTTTTCTTTATTCAACTGCCATTACCCAACTTTAACCCAAATTAGAACTAAAGACTGACAGTATAATAAAGACAACAGAACCTCAGAGCTAACCCTAGAGACTATGACCACCACAATCAGGAACAGACGATTTCACACAAATTTCAGGAATGTTTAAACAAAAATTGCTGGATTCATGTCAAGTAAGCATCCTGGTACTTTTTGGGATAAGATAACTTGCTTTTGGTTTCACTTCTCAGGGTCAAGTTGCACTCTAAAAGTTAAGAGAGACAGTCATTGTGCTATTATTGCTTTCCAAGTTTTTCTAAGAAAGATTAGTCTTTTCTACACATCTGTTTACTCTTGCTTTAAAAATCATCA